CTCACATGTGCACGCGCATGCACACTACTTCCGGTGTACTGTGCATGCACGAGCGAGTCGCGGCCGCCATTTTGGAAAACAAAATGGTGGCCATGACACACGCGGCAGCAGCACGTTGGCAGTGCAGCGGTGGTGGAGGTAGGCAAGGGTCGGTGGCAGCGGTGGCAGGACCAGCCTGGGGCTGGTCCAAAAGCCTCGGGGGGCTGAATCTGGAGCCCGGGCTGTAGGTTGCCAACCCCTGGCTTAGGGAGTGCTTAAGTGCACTGATAAGTGGTATAGAAATGTACTTGCTATTACTATTTCCAACCAACTAATAAACAAAATGTAATTATTCTAATCTAGAAAATAATGTATTTTAGTTGATCCTTGTGAGGAAGGGAGATTCAAAAATTTATGCAGGATGCAGTGAATTACTGTCTTAAAATATAGTAAAAGTGCAGGAAACAGGATCTTCTAAGACCTTGTCTTCATGCTCCCTAGAGGATTCTGACAAGAGATTGTGAAGCTATTTTTGCTTTGCATATTCAGGAACAAACACTGAATTTCCCATGGGCTTATGATAGATGTTGCTTTCAATCACTTGTATCTTTAACATTGCCTCTCACAAGTTTGCATGTGTTTATTTTTCACATGAAAAGCCTCCAGGGGTTTGATATGATTCATATGCATTCATAATGATTGGCAAGCATTTAAAAATACCAGTTTAATCACTGATCTATTTCCTGATACCTTCATTACTTCCATAAAGTAAAACAAATGAAGAAACAAACATTTTGAAAGGGGAAGGAATTAGCAGACAGCAGAGGAGTATCCCCATGATCCCAGCTAGGAAATGACACTCTAATCGCTGAGGAGTAATAGCATCTATCCTGTGCTGTTAGTATTCTTCTTTACTAACATAAATGCCTTTCTGTGAAAGAAAAATACCAATTGAATGGAATGTGATAAGCAGATGAGCTGGAAACAGCTAAGAGTTAAGAAGGGGCCTACTCAGTGTTGGTAAATTGGTGCTGAAGGTACAATAGCTAGCATAGCTACAACATTTCCTGTTGTATGGCTGTGATCCTCCAATATCAGAGATACACACAAATCTTACTTATTTTATTTTAACAAATATTTTAAACAGTTTAATGTGTGAATTCTTTGAGAAACATTAATTTGTTACCAAGAATACTTGGTTAAAAACACAGCTTTGATGCCAGAAAAGGAAAGGAAATGTAGAAAGAAATAAGGGGAGTACAAGTGATAGGTGAGAGGCAGTATGGTTTAGTGGTTTAAGCATTTGACTGTGACTCTGGAGAGCAGGGTTCAAATCCCTGCTCTGCTATGAAAACCCACTGGGTGACCTTGGGTAAGTCACAGGACGTTTTCACACTTGGGGTCTCAAAGCCGCCTGGAAGCAATCAAGAGCCATTCCAGAATGGATCCTGCAGCTTCAGACCTGTGAAAGCAGCATCATTCCGGAATGGCTCTTGATTGCTTCCGGCTGCGGCAACTCAATTCCTTTTTAAAAAAGGAATTGAAAAGAACGGGGATGATGCAGAAATGCACCGGGGATGGCACTGGATGGGGCGGGGCGGGGCTTGCTGCGACGTCGTGTGAACACGCGGGGCAAGGACCTGGACTGACGCAGGATTGTGCCGGGGATGGCACTGGATGGGGCGGGGCTTGCTGCGACGTCGTGTGAAAACTTTGCAAAGGAGCCGGACTGGGACTGGACGGAGGTAGGATTGCGTCTGCCTTAAGCCCCGTGTGAAAACGTCCACAGTCTCTCGTCCTCAGAGGATGGTAACGGTGAACCCTGTCTGAAGAAACTTGTTAAGAAAACCCTGTGATAGGTTTGCCTTAGGGTTGCCATAAGTCAGAAGTGATTTGAAGACAAACAACATACATACAGAATGTTGTGTCATATTGAGGATGGAGCAAGCTTGTTTTCTGCAACTCCAGAGAATAGGACGTGGAACAATGGGTGCAAGCTACAGGAAAAGACATTCTACCTAAACATTAGGAGGAACTTCCTGACAATAAGAGCTGTTTGACAGTGGAACACACTCCCTCAGAGAGTGGTGCAGTCTCCATCTTTGAAAGTTTTCAAACAGAGGCTGGATGGCCATCTATCAGGGATGCTTTGATTGTGTGTTCCTGCATGGCAGGGGGTTGAACTGGATGGCCCTTCTATTATTCTAAGTGATAGAGAGTGGGAGCAAGAATCAAAGAGGAACAGTGCTTAGTGCCAGTTGGACCAGTACTGGGAAGATCAAGTATTATATTCCCACTACTCCTAAATCTGATGACTACTTTATTGTACTTGGTAAAGATCTTCCCTTACCTTGAAATTTCAGGAATTATATATATATTTATCACTTTCTTTCACTGTTTGTTGCATGCTATTCCCACCTCCCTCCATAGAACTAGACCTTACAGTTTCTCCAGCCTCTTCATATTGCTATGACCAAGCCTATTAACCAGCTGGGAACAGCTGATTGATCAGGTGACCTATACTGTTCCTTTTTCTGCCATACTAACACCGCACAGTTGGCTTGTACCCAAGGTGTTCTATTCTCTTAATTTCGCACTACCACTATCCCATGTTGGCAGGGGATAGACCCATAAGGAAAAGGTGAGTAACAATAGATAATACCTCCATACCATTTTCTTGTCTTAATTCTATAAATACTGTATGCCAGTAGAAAATCAGGCATGGAATTGGTATTTAAATTTTAAAAGATTTCCTGTAGACATGATATCTTCCATTTATTTTGGACTATAGCTCTCATAATTCCTTTCCCAAATCCAGGCTTGTAGGGGCTGAGAGGGTGTGTAACCCAGTTATTGTTTTTGTTTTTGTTGTGTGCTTTCAAGTCATTTCCAACTTATGGTGACCCTATTGGCTCCTCTTAATTCACTAGCTTCTAAAACTTCGTACAGAATGAGGCAATGCTTTTTAAAATGAGGTAATTAAACTGATATTTTACCTGAATTCCTCATTTGTAAACAAAAGTCAGTGTAGAAGGCATCACAATGTATCTAACCTTTTTCAACTACAGTTATGCAAATTTTGTTAAGTGAGTGACAGAAGCTTTATCCTGGAGACCATTGTATATAAATATTTTCTTCCAGTGCACACAGTCATCTTGTTCTGGTACAGTAGATGAACCATCTTACATGCTCAAAGACTGAAAATGTGATTCTTTCCTACGCTGTTATATTTCACCTGCTGAAAAGGGAAAGGGGAAATGTACTGGTAAATAAAGATAGGAAATGCCCATGGGCACGGTGGGCATGGTGCCTGCAGACTTTTAAGAATAGAATTGGCTAGGCTGCTGCTATGATTCTGGGGAGCCAGAGACTCAGCAGGGGAGCTGAGAAGAAGGAATTAGGCAACTGCTGTGTTGTGCCTAGTGAGAAAATTATTCCTAGACTCTGTGTGAGCCTCTTTTCTTTTTTCTTCTATGTATTCTTTGCATACAGATTTTATGGAGCATTGTACTTTATGGATTAATTGTATGTCCTGTGTCTTGTGCCAATGTTATCCCAAAAGAAAGGGGGGAAACTGTGCTTAAAGAAAGACAAAGATTCCCTCCCCATCTTGTTATTTGGAAAACCTGGGGTCCCATTTAAAACGCCAAAGTGGTTGACAGTAAATATCTTTGAACAGAATTGAAAAGTTAAATACTCGAATCCTGTAAATTACTCAGACCCTTGTTCTTTCACTTCCTTCCCCAGGCTGAAAACTTTAGCTGTGATTTAGATACTTTGTTACTGCAAAAAGATGTATGGTGTGGTTCATTTTATAACTTAAGTGAATTCACACAATGAAGCATGGAATTGCTATTTAGGATCCTTTACTCAGGTTTTATGGGACATCCACATGATGTCCAGTAAGCCACTGGTTATTAGGTTTTTAGTTCTACGTGCCTGTCTTTTTAAAAGGTTAGGTGCTTTATGTGGGCAGTGATGGGCTAGAAATACAAGTACGTATCTCAAAGCCCAGCATACATTAACCCTGGAGTCATGGGCCATTTTATGAGCCCATTTAATTAACACTAAAAATGCCATTCTAGCTATAAAAAATTAAAAAAAAAATTGAAGGCTATAGTGCTAAGATTTTCTAAAGTTATCATGCTAATTCTGAAAATATGTCAGAATTTTTCCCATTTACAATGTTGCTAAAGTGGCAGTGATTCAGGGCTGAGGCAGATGGCCCATTTGGGGCGGCAGAGAGCTGCCCTTGCAAGTGGTGGACCGGGGCTGTGGCAACCACATGCCACAGCCCTGATCCTCCCTTGTGCTGCCCCTAAAACAGGAGTCGGCAACCTATGGCCCTGGGGCTGGGGCCACCCCCCCAAGGCCTTTGGACAGGCCCCAGGCACATGCGCAAATGAGCCACGGCTGCCGTTTTGGGAAAAAAAATGGTGGCCATGACTCGCTCGCTCATGCGCAGTACTCTGGAAGTATTGCGCATGAGCGCGTGAGCGTACGCATGCATGCACAGTACTTCTGGAGTACTGTGCATGCACGCACACAAGCGTGAGCACATGTGATGCCATTCCCCCCCAACCTAGCAGAAGACCTGGGGACCAGCGACCGACCCCAGGTAGGAAAATGTTGCCGACCCCTGCCCTAAAAGAACGGTAAATGCCACTCCTTTTAGGGGTGGCAAAAGGCCGCCCCAAGGGCTGGCGCCACAGCTCTTCTACGCTGGGAGGGCGTCCTGATGCCGCATGGCTGGCGTGTGGCTGATTCACCCGAACTCCACCCCCGGCCGGCCCTTTGGGCCAGTCTGCAATCGCCCTAAATATTTTTTTTTCTTTGAGTAATGTAAAGAATTAGCATCATTTGTATTAATGGTGAAGCTTTTTGGGTCTGAGTCTAAATTCCAAGTTGGAAAATGGGTTTTTGGGGTACAGTTCAGCTGTGTGGGAGGGCATACTTTGAGGTCAGGGATCATATAAACAGGACCGATGTAAATAAGCTGGGGCATACATTTTCCATCTGCCCTAGCTGGCATGATCAATAGTCAAAGATAATGGAAACATCAGGGACCCTGACTGGGGAAGGTTGAGCTAGATGATTCTCTAAAATAAATTGCACATTGCTAACATACAGAATCTGTTCCTGCTTTCAGTTTCTGTCACATAGTTTTTCCTCCTGTTTCTTATTGGACACATGTACACTGATGAAATCCTGCCCAAAAAGTGGTCTTGATGTGCCCCTGACCTCCAGCACAATGGTGAAATAACATACAAAACACTCTTTTTATGTTCAATGAAATATATATTCTGATGCACCCAGATATATAATGACACAAGAATAATTTTGCATGTTTTGTTGTTGTTGTGTGACTTCAAGTCATTTTCAATTTATGGCAAACCTAAAGGCCATGAACCTATCATGGTTTTTTTTTTTAAGCAAGATTTCTTCGGGGGGGGGGTTGCCATTGACATCCTCTGAAGCTGAGAGATTGTGACTTGCCCAAGGTCACCCAGTGTGTTTCCATGGCCAAGCAGGGAATTGAATCCTGGTCTCCAGGGTCTCAAGTCCAACATTAGTATGCCATGAAGCAATGGAAGCAATAAAAAGTTCTGTAGAGGCCCCTTGTTTCCTCTGCGGCTCTTCTGTACCGGGAGGGTGTCCTGATGTCACCCGCCATGCGTATGGCCGTGAGGCATCAGGACAGTGTTGGGGTGGGGTTGGGGTGGCCGGAGTGTGGCTGCTCTGCCTGAACTCCACTCCCAGGCTGCCAGTCTGCAATAGCCCTAAATAGTTTTTTTTCCGTCTGTAGAGGCCCCTTGAAGCAGTACTTAAACAAACAGAGAAGGAGTTAATATACATACTTGCCACAAGAGATTCAGACCACAAGGACTGTCCGGATGAATGCATCCAGAGGAAAATGTCTTAGATAAAGCAATATGAGACAAAGGCAAAAGGTTACTACAAGTCATGTGGCAACCATAATGAGCAAGCAGTTGGAAGGGTGCTGTATCACAGGAAGATGATGACACACAGGCAGGAGATGGCATCACTAGGCCTCAGTACTGCAAAGTCATGCCACATGGGGAACAGGAAACTGTGTTCTACACCAGTAAGGGTTTGGTCTAGAAGCTCCATCAATGAATGCGTATATGAGGGAGGAGCTCCAATAACCTGTGTGGTGGTGTTGATGTATATAGCGAGCGGAGCATTTTGTCAGTTGGTGTGACATATTGTAAATATTGGAACAAAGATTAAAAGCTTCCTTGAGACTACCGAGCATGTTGTCATATCTGCAGCTTCTTTGTGTGGAGGAGAAGGAGTTTCCAGCCTGCACTGAACTGTACAGCAGAG